AGGCCGCCATTGTGCTAGAGCTCCAAAGCTATGCGAAGCCCTAAGCGTGATAACAGTGCGGCAGACTTTTTTCACAAAAGAAAAGTCAAAATGCGGTTCCAAAAATTCCAGGGCTAACTTTTTGAAAGGTAATAAATTCCACTGCAGACTATGTACATTTATAGAAGGTAAGCAAAAATGTTCAAGCAGACCTGAGAACTCTTTCGCGTTCTACTTAGCAGCATATTGAAATTTTCAATACCAGCTGTGTTAAACAAAGCAGATTTAATAGCAAATAAAATTTTTTTCGTCACCGTTTTTAGAGAATTATGCGCATAAATGGTATGGAGTGTTGTATAGTCATAATTTTAAGTTTAAGTCATCGAGTTATATTAACGTATAAACGCATTGTTCTGTAAACCAGTTTTTATTACTCCAAAAATGGCAGCAGCGGCAAGTGGGAGTCTAAGGTACGAAAAAACGGAGGCTAAATGTCACGAAAAAAAAAAGTATAGAGCAGCAAGAAGGCGAATTCAAAGCGGAAGGAACCGGCAAATAATTTGTCCCGAAACTGAATGAGGGGAACAAATGCTGATATCCCAATTGCAAAACCGCACAAAACGACTTTTATGAACTTTGTAGACCATAAATTTTGATGTATAAAGATGCTGAAGAAACTGACGACCAAATTCATACTTTTCTCAAAAAATTTAAATGAACAATTTTACAGCGGATTTGATAATCCCAGGTCAAAAGGTACTCTCCTAAACCACGGTAGGATTACATGGATCCTGCTAGATAAATGAAAGAATTTAGAAAGAGAAAACTAAATTGTATAGTAACGAGGACGATTGGGACTGCCTTTACTTATAAGTCCTATTTATTACACAGCTGCAATCAGCGAAGTCGTTGTTTTTTAAATACAGTTAGAACTTTGCAGCCGTCGTGGACCGCTGCAAATAACAACGACCTTTCAAGTTCTAACGAACATAAATAAACTAAGGGCGTTGTCTATACATCCTATTCACTTGTGAATCTGTTTCGTGTTGGTGATGGTTATTCTCTTTGCTTTCGCTCGAAAATGATGTTGTGCTTTTCAGCCGATTTATAGGTTGGTTGGAGCTAAAACTTGATGTATCATCTTTTTTAATCAGGCTTGTGACTGAATTGTTAAATGTTCTTAGTCGGTTTCGTTTGCAGTTTCTTTTTTTTATTTTCGCTACGTTACAAGCAACACCGTTTGTAATCCTAATGACTACTGTTTTGAAGGTCCTATTGCCATTTCTGTTTTATCCTGCTTATTTGTTGTTGGCTTTTTCGTAATACGTGTGTGAGGGCGCCCTCCCTTGTAGCCTTTTTCTTTTGTTGAAAAGAACATTGATGAGACGTTGTCTTCCTGTTTATCGTGATTTTTTTGCCCTGACAACATCGTTATATGACGCTAAAAAGTTTTTTGATAGTGCAACTATAGGGTTCGTCTCGAGTTCTCGAACAAGTTTTAGTATACATGGAGTGGTTGTTTTTAGAGTACGGTAAAGCCTTTAAGCAAGTGATTTTCCAGCCTGTTCATTGCGTATTTATACGAGTAAAGCGATAAAGCTTTCAGCTTTGCTACCTTAAGTTATGTAGCTGCTTTTTCGTAAATTTAAGGGTTTTGATGGCGGATTTGTTTGATGAAATATTGAAACAAGCAAGCGACAATACCAGAAATGCGTCTAAAGAACTCAGGAAAATTGATAAAACTGTTGAACATCAGAGACGTCTGAAGGCGGAACGTGAAGCTGAAGAAAGGAGATTAACGAAAGAGGCTATAAAAAAGAATGCTCCGCTTCCCTCTAAATCCAAGGTACGAACAGAAGCCACCAATTTTTTGGGATTGATTTTTACGGATTGTGTTTTTTTTTTTTTTTTTTGACTGTTTTTTGGGGTTGTTTTTATTCATTTTGACCTTCTCATATACTAACGTCAGTTTAGCAATGTACTATTGATACTAGACTGTAAATCGTTTGAAACATGTGTTTTAGGCGCGGTTTAAGTATTTGTAGAAGGTAATGTCCATTTTTTTCAGTTCTGCATACCCAAGTTATCTGATTCTAAAAAGACAGAAGCCAGTGTTGACAAAGCACAGATCGCCGCGTTTTTGAAGAAGAAAGAAGAGGAAAAAAGGCGTGAAATCCTAGAGAAAAAACAGGAAAAGGAAAGGTTAATCAAACTGCGGTTACAGTCTTATGGTGGGAAGGTAATAGCCTCATTAGTATTCACCACTTTCTTCAATGGCACTTAATTTTGGGATATATTTGTGCCATATATCCTGTTTCTGCATCATAATTGCTAAGTTTATTTTTGAGTTGCTACCGTTGCACGGGAAACAATTTGATTAACATCCTCATTTTCACATAAGCGGCTGTGGTATTTGCTGAACGTTTAGGATAGAACTTGATTACATCTATTATTTATGGTTTAATATCTAGGCTAACAAAAAATTAGCAAAGCAGTTTGGAACTACTCCTATCGAGCTACAGCAGAAGTATGGAACGGACCGTGAACATGAAGAATATTTAAAAAAGCTACAAATTCGAGAAGAGGTTTTGTACTTTTCAGCAAGTTCAATTTCTTGGATATCAGTTGGGATCGAATAGCTCCAAACTTTGAATGAATTATGAGCTTAAGGCTAAATCTCACATATGGCGATAGTAATACAGAACTGGCATGTGAACTTTCTCTAGCTGATTATTAGTTTGGATATCTTTTTTTCTTTTTTTTCTTTTTTTTTTTCTCGCTAATGGTGGTTTTACAAGCGTTTCTAACGAATTTTGAATTGTGTAGGAGGAAGCAGATCGGTTGAATACTGAACTCAGAGGTAGCGTTATGAAGGCGCTGGAAAGAAAGAAGGTGGCAGACAAGTTTGCTCCGTCCTTGGAAGAAAGAAAAGCAAGAGGGCCTTATCGTGTTGCTTCTAACAAACAAAATAGTTTACGCTATTTCACGTAAGAAATATTGTTTTACGACTTAATCTAATACTTCTTTATTTCTTCTAGACAGCATTTTCTAAAATTTTGAATGCCGTGCCTGAATGTTTTCTGTTAAGGAAAGAAGATTCGCCCGGTCCATCATCTTCTTTTTCCTCGAAGAATAAAGCTGAAGAAAGAAGGGGTCGCACAACAACTGTTGCTAAGAAGACGGTGACATCTAGGCCTGAAAAAAAGAAGCCTGCTCCAACGTTTGACTTTGTGGATCTTATGAAAAAGGTTCTGTTCGAGCTGTAGGACTCATTTTGCTGGCAGGAAAATAGAAGAAAATATTAGGTAAACTTCACTTAATTTTTTTGAAATATTCGTTACTTGTAGGCTGAAGCTATCCAGAAGGGCGAACCTGTTAGCCTAAGTCCACCGCCTCAGTCAGCAAGTCAAAAGGGTTCTGGAGAAAAACCTGTTGAGAAAACAGTACGTAGAAACGTTGACGAAAGTTCTTGCAGGAAATCGTTCAACCGGCAAACTAACAGTATTAGTGGTGACCACTACCAGGCAGAGCGGTAATACGTTGGAAGCTTTGATTTTTTACCAGTTTTTATTCACAGGACTGATTTTGTTGTTTCGTAAAAATTAAATTTTGAGTAATTTGTGACTTATCTATTCAGTATTTTTAGGAAGTGTAACATTTAATTTAGAAATGATAAGAAAAACGCTTCCTTGCCGACAAGCAAATATGGAATTGGGACTGTAAAAAAGGCTTTTGAGTCTCCTTCGCCATCAAGTGCATCTATTGGCAAAGGACGGAATGAGAAATCTTCGTAAATAGTCGATTTCTTTTTTTCAATTGCTATAGGTTGCACTCCGGATTATTTGGCTAGTGACGAGCAAAATGCTTTGCTTTGTTTATCAAATTTTTCTTTAAGAATATTTTCTACCTTTAGTACGATATCTACAAGAGATTCCTTTCGAAAACCCCTGCCATTTACTTCAAAACGTGATGGAAGGCAACCATCTTCCTCCAGATCTGTTAGTAACACTTCACAGTCAAATTTGTCAGCTTCACCGAGACGCTTCCTTCCTGGGGATTTACGGTTGGATTCATATGACATTTTTAATAAAACAGTTTCAAATTTTCTAGGTATCAAAACTGTGAGTGAAATTTGCTCTGTTCGTTTGATAGTAGTCTTTTAAATATTTTTATTCAATGTCTCAATGCTCTTCACAGTTTTTTAACTGCTCTTCTCCGTACTAATTTAATGATATTTGTAAGGGTAACATTTGATTTAGAATTTGAGGAGGCTTTAAAAATTCAGTCTTTGAACTGTAAGTCGATTTTATAGATACAAAAGTGGAATGGATCAGCGTTGTGGGCCACTTGGCAGCAGGATTGGAAATCCATCTCTGTCATCAATTCGGGACCGAACTGTAGCAAAACCTGATTCTAGGCCGCCTGTAAAAACGTATATTTTTATTCATCTTTTTTTTTTTTTTTTTTGCTTGATGAATATGTACTTCTTTAAAATATTCACGGAATTAGGAGTTACATTGAAGTATCAGACGGTTGTTGCTCTTTCCTTCACATAACATCTCTTTAAAGACTGCAGGAGTTTAAGGCCAAATGACAGGAAACGGCAGGACGAGTTGCGAAAAGGTTACGACCCACCCTTACAAAAAAAGAGTCGAGTGGATGAAGACGCTGATCGAGCCCGATTCAGAGACTATATGAGGTTCAAACAGATGCAGCAGGAAGAAATGTGAGTCACATGTTTAGGAAATCATTTTTGGCTCGTTAATTTTTTTTAAAACTAGGTATAACATTTGTCGTTGTTATTTTAGCGAGGGAAGAGGAACGCTTTTTAGTTTAAAACAAAGAGGGAAAAAGTGTGAAGATAAAAGAGTTCACTTAACTTTGTTTTCTGAGTATTTGGGGGAAGTTTTTTGACATTGGTCAAAAATTATACTCTTGGAGTGTTCAAAGCTTTTCAAAGTGGTGTGTAGAAACACGAAGTATTTCAATCATGATGAACATAAGAGGGTTTTTATAAAAAAAGGTTTTCTTTTGAAACACAATGGCTTTAAGTCTACAGCTTCAGTTTTTTGGAGACTTGGATATACGTGAAACTATTGTATTTTACGCAAATTTTGATACATCAAACGGCGTTCTTATTTCCACGCCAGCTTGTCTGAATGTGGAAGAGATATTTCGATGGAAAATGATTTGTGCAGTGATTAAGAACTCCCTGAGGCATTGGAAATGAAATGCAAATTGTTTTTTAGTGTAGTTCTTGGTGATAATACAAGTTTTGAATAAAAGCTGGATAAACTACCTATTAAACTTTTATGGAGTCATAGCCTTATCAATTGTTCCACGACATTTTACATCATAACCTGTCTTGATTGTTTGTTATTATTGGCTTAGGCGACGACACCGCGAAGAGGAGGAAGTGGAAGATGAGGAATATGATAGTGATATGGATTCTTTTATTGACGATTCTGAACTAGATGAACTTTCCAGGAAAGATTTTGAAGAAACTTTGAGGTTTTTGTTTGCTGATTGCTTTCATCCAGACTGTTTTGCTAAAACGCCTTCTGTTTTCCTTGTGTCGTAGCGGCGTATATCCTTTTTCAGGATGGTAAATCCTCGTTATAATAAGAAAAAGTGGGCTTTGAATGAAAGAATGATTGACGATAGATATATGGAAGCTAAGTATCGTGACGTTGCTAGAGAAGAAATGCGAAGTGCGAAAATTGGTTTGCTAGAAGACCTTCGAGAGGCGCAACGTGGGGCCAGCATTGCCTTATAAGTGGTTCATTTTAGCACTCGTCGTGACGATAGAAATTTGTACTGTAGCCTTGCTTGCATAGTTCTCGCGGACTCTTTCATCCTATGCTTTTTCGCTATTTGAACATGTGCTTCTGTGTCAGTGCTTCATGCTCCTTTTATGTTTGTTCGTAAACTCGAATAGACTCCATTTTCTTATTATTTTTTGGTTTACATTGTTTTGAGAGAGGAGAGTAAATATTTTACTCTTTCCTCAAATTCACTACTTTTCATTACTATCGTGCACTTTAGTCTCAAAACTGTGATGCTCAGAGTACTTGCTGGTCAAGGTAAATTTTTTTGAGAAGTTACGTACTTTTATATTACATTGCTCACATGATATAAAAATTTTTGAGTATTATCGTTTTCTTTGGTTGTCTGTTTTTTTCTAAGTAAGGTCTTTCAAAAACATACATTTTCAGGATTTTTAAGATTTTGTTAAATTTATTTATTTTTTATTTCCGCAACAGTTGTAACGTTTAACGGTTAATGAATTTGCTTTTAAGTTTATTTGTAAGAAAGGTTTTACATTCATAGAGTAAAAATAATAGTTTTGTTAGCATTATTATTCTGTATTTACAATTTCTCTTACTATTGACGTTATTTTTGGCATATTTTTATGGTCGTTTTTTTGTACGCCGTTGATTTGTCAGCTCAATTTCTTTCCGTCGTTTTATATTTTCCCTCTTGTTTTTCAGTTGCATAACGTATCCTTTGCGCGTAGCAAATATTTCATTGTGTAATACTGAAAGATTGTTGAGGACGGTGCTCCATTGACTGGTCTTTTACAGAATTTTTAATGTGCAGTTGATTCGACTTTTTGCGGCTGCAGTTGAATAATTTTGTGATTAAAAAAAATCTTATAGAGGAGCCCATCCCCAGCATAAGATCAGAAGTTTTGGCTCAGATGTCTATAATTCCAACACGCGGGTACCGGTTTAATTTCGACTTAAGATGGTGGCTTCCTTTGAAAATGCAAGAGGTTTGGAAACGGAGAAAGATGCTGGGGTTTAGCAAACTCATTGAGACGTGACACGCCTTTAACAAAAACGGCTCCACAGTTGGACAACAGCCAACAACTCAAAGAGTCCCATATATGTCAAATCGCACACTTTTTTCCCTTCATATCTCAGGTTTT